AGTGACAAAAGAAAATATGGACATGGTTAAAGAACTTTTTCCAATAGTAAACGATTCATTGTTAGAGAGCGAGAAAGAAAGCGTATACAAGGTACTAGCACGTCATACTGTAATAGTCTCGGAAAATAAAACGGACTTGGGAGAGGCGAGAGATGTCCAACATTTTATTAACACTGGTCAACATATCCCAGTTAAAGCTACACCGCGTAGATTTCCGTTTCATAAGCGTGAGGTTGTACGAGAAGAAGTGGAATCGATGCTTGCAAGCGACGTGATTGAACCTTCCACATCCCCTTGGTCGGCCCCGGTGGTGCTGGTGAGAAAAAAAGACGGGAGCGAGCGTTTCTGTATCGACTACCGTAAACTGAATGCGATTACGAAGAAGGATGTTTTCCCTCTACCGAGATGCGACGAAATATTAGAATCGCTTTCGGGGGCAGCCTACTTCACTCATCTGGATCTAGTGCGAGGTTATTGGCAAATCAAAGTCGCGGAGCAAGATCGCGAGAAAAAAGCTTTCTCCACACCAGACGGACATTTTCAGTTTAAAAGAATGCCTTTTGGGTTGACTAATGCACCGGCAACATTTCAACGAGCTATGAATACGATTTTGGCGGGACTGTGCTGGACTGACTGTGTTGTATATTTGGATGACATTATTGTGAGTGGGAGGACACTAGAAGAGCACAATCAGCGTCTTGAGAACGTATTAGCAAGATTAGAAACTGCAGGGTTGAAATTGAACGCAAGAAAATGTGAGTTTGTCCAACAGCGGAGTGTTATTTTAGGACATGTCGTTAGTAAGGAAGGGATCTTGACTGATCCCGATAAGGTGAAAGTCCTGGAGAAATGGCCTACTCCAAACAACCTATCGGACATGCGTTCGTTCCTTGGCTGCACGGGTTACTACAGGCAATACATCCGGGATTACGCAAGAATTGCCGAACCACTTTATAGACTTGAACGAAAGGGAACGGTTTTCAAGTGGAACGACGATTGTCAGAAAGCATTCAACATTCTAAAGACAAAATTGATAATGGCCCCAATACTGACCTACCCGAGACTCGACATTCCTTTTATTCTTGATACTGATGCCTGTGATACGGGGATTGGAGCTGTGTTGTCACAACGCCATGGAGAAGATGAAAAGGTTATTGCCTATGCCGCCAGGTCCTTATCAAAAGCGGAAAGGAACTATAGTACTACTAGGAAAGAACTATTGGCCCTTGTATGGTCGATGGAACATTTCGCATCCTATCTAATAGGAAAACCATTCAGAGCACGTTCTGATCATAATGCACTGAGGTGGATAAGAAATTTTAAGCAACCTAAAGGACAAGTAGCACGATGGATTGAAAGATTGTCCATTTTTGACTTTGAAATTGAACATAGACCTGGACGTAGTCATGGTAATGCTGATGGTGTATCACGTATACCTCAGGATACTCGTGAGGTACAGAGTGGCCACGTATGTAACGCATCGAATGGTAATGACAAAACGAGCCCGTGGTGTCTGCGCTGGACAGCGAAGGAACTGAGTTTGCATCAACACGAAGATCCAGAGATTTGTCGCGCGATCGGATGGGTGAAAGACGGTAAGCGACCACCGAAGGAGGATATAACACGTATGGGTCCTCTAATGGGCAAACTTTGGAGCAAATTCGATCAATTGACGCTTGTTGATGGACTTTTGTATCGTATTTTCGAGAACGATAATGGTAATGACCGACATCTTCAAATTTGTTTACCACGAAAATTAATAAAAGAAGTTTTGGAGTTGACTCATGATATTCCCAGCGTGGGTCACCTCGGTTCTCAGAGGTTAAAAGAAGTGATAAAGAGAAGATGTTATTGCAGCGACTGGCAGTCAGATGTCGAGATGCATTGCAAGAATTGTCAGATATGCGCAGAACGAAATGGACCGTCGAGAAAACGACGCGGAATGATGGTATTGGATCAACCGGGATACCCAATGGAACGTGTTGCTATGGACATCATTGGACCACTACCTAAAACCCCTGATGGTAATCGATATATATTGGTGGTCGTGGACTATTTCACGAAATGGCCGGAGGCGTACGCGATTCCAAATCAAGAAGCACGTATCATTGCACAAAAATTGGTGGATGAGTGGATTTGTAGATATGGAATCATGCAGCGACTGCATACGGACCAGGGGAGAAATTTCGAAAGCGCGGTCTTCAAAGAGATAATCGATATTCTTGGGATAAAGAAAACCCGAACAACACCATACCACCCTCAAAGTGATGGCCTTGTTGAACGAATGAACCGGACTCTGAAAGATATTCTTTCAAAGTTGGTCAATGAACGTCAAGATGATTGGGACAGATGTTTACCTCAAGCATTGTTGGCGTACCGGTCCACCGTGCAAACCTCAACAGGGTTCTCTCCACATTTCTTGATGTTTGGAAGAGAAACAAGAATCCCAGTTGACCTAATGACACCTGAGCCCCCTCAAGCAGAAGTACCACCGACTACATCAGAGTATGCGGAAAAATTGAGGAAACGTTTTGAAAGAACATACGAGTTGACCAGAGTAAATACAAAGAAATCTAGCGAGCGATATAAAGACTACTATGACGCGAAAGCGAAAGATACGACGTACAACGTCGGGGAGAAAGTATGGTTGTATGTACCATTTGTCAAAAAGGGAAAGAATTTGAAGCTATCACGGCCGTGGCGGGGACCATATACGATTGTGAAGAAAATTTCAGATGTGGTGTATCGAATCGAGAAAAATGCCAACAAAAGGAATAGGTTAGTAGTCCATTACAATCGTCTTAAACCGTGTTTTGAACGACTGTTGAAAAGTCTACCTAATCGACCACCAAACGAGACGAAACTGCAATCGAAAGAAACCACCGAAACGAGAAAAGAAAACGTGGAGAATTGTAGTGGCCAAACCCCGCAAACGGAACCCCCAACCAACAGAGGAAATGATGAGGATGAGTGGACAGTGAGGTATTTTAGAAGAAATTTGAGACAAAGTAGACCAAGTCGGGCAATTAACGGGGAGGAACACGGACAAAATTTACCTGATGAGGTCCAAGAAGACGTACAACATTTACCTGACGAATTACAACAGGATGGGCCATTGAGTTCAATGGAACAGGATAATCAGAGAGACGGTAGCGACGAGACATTGCGAGAACCAGTAGAAGGAAACAAGGGACAGTCACAAGCCCCACCGGAAAGGCCAGCGCGAACGAGAAAAAAACCAGCGTGGTTACGGGACTATGAATAGCTTTAGCTATACATATATGTCGGACTGTACTGCATTTTTGCAGCTTAGTTATCTATTAAATTGTACTGCATTTTTGCAGCTTTGTTATCTATTAAAATTAGAGGGGAATAGTGTAGAGAATATAGAGACCGACGTTATAGAGACTGACGTTAGCAAATATAGGTGGCGTGGACGAGCGTTGATCGATAGTTTTAAATCCGCACACTACAGGAAAGTTGTAAGACTGTTAATATTAATATATCTTCAGAAATAAATTATTACATTGAGAAGATTTTATTGGAGCGACTGGCAGTCAGATGTCGAGATGCATTGCAAGAATTGTCAGATATGCGCAGAACGAAATGGACCGTCGAGAAAACGACGCGGAATGATGGTATTGGATCAACCGGGATACTCAATGGAACGTGTTGCTATGGACATCATTGGACCACTACCTAAAACCCCTGATGGTAATCGATATATATTGGTGGTGGTGGACTATTTCACGAAATGGCCGGAGGCGTACGCGATTCCAAATCAAGAAGCACGTATCATTGCACAAAAATTGGTGGATGAGTGGATTTGTAGATATGGAGTCATGCAGCGACTGCATACGGACCAGGGGAGAAATTTCGAAAGCGCGGTCTTCAAAGAGATAATCGATATTCTTGGGATAAAGAAAACCCGAACAACACCATACCACCCTCAAAGTGATGGCCTTGTTGAACGAATGAACCGGACTCTGAAAGATATTCTTTCAAAGTTGGTCAATGAACGTCAAGATGATTGGGACAGATGTTTACCTCAAGCATTGTTGGCGTACCGGTCCACCGTGCAAACCTCAACAGGGTTCTCTCCACATTTCTTGATGTTTGGAAGAGAAACAAGAATCCCAGTTGACCTAATGACACCTGAGCCCCCTCAAGCAGAAGTACCACTGACTACATCAGAGTATGCGGAAAAATTGAGGAAACGTTTTGAAAGAACATACGAGTTGACCAGAGTAAATACAAAGAAATCTAGCGAGCGATATAAAGACTACTATGACGCGAAGGCGAAAGATACGACGTACAACGTCGGGGAGAAAGTATGGTTGTATGTACCATTTGTCAAAAAGGGAAAGAATTTGAAGCTATCACGGCCGTGGCGGGGACCATATACGATTGTGAAGAAAATTTCAGATGTGGTGTATCGAATCGAGAAAAATGCCAACAAAAGGAATAGGTTAGTAGTCCATAACAATCGTCTTAAACCGTGTTTTGAACGACCGTTGAAAAGTCTACCTAATCGACCACCAAACGAGACGAAACTGCAATCGAAAGAAACCCCCGAAACGAGAAAAGAAAACGTGGAGAATTGTAGTGGCCAGACCCCGCAAACGGAACCCCCAACCAACGGAGGAAATGATGAGGATGAGTGGACAGTGAGGTATTTTAGAAGAAATTTGAGACAAAGTAGACCAAGTCGGGCAATTAACGGGGAGGAACACAGACAAAATTTACCTGATGAGGTCCAAGAAGACGTACAACATTTACCTGACGAATTACAACAGGATGGGCCATTGAGTTCAATGGAACAGGATAATCAGAGAGACGGTAGCGACGAGACATTGCGAGAACCAGTAGAAGGAAACGAGGGACAGTCACAAGCCCCACCGGAAAGGCCAGCGCGAACGAGAAAAAAACCAGCGTGGTTACGGGACTATGAATAGCTTTAGCTATACATATATGTCGGACTGTACTGCATTTTTGCAGCTTAGTTATCTATTAAATTGTACTGCATTTTTGCAGCTTTGTTATCTATTAAATTTAGAGGGGAATAGTGTAGAGAATATAGAGACCGACGTTATAGAGACTGACGTTAGCAAATATAGGTGGCGTGGACGAGCGTTGATCGATAGTTTTAAATCCGGACACTACAGGAAAGTTGTAAGACTGTTAATATTAATATATCTTCAGAAATAAATTATTACATAAGTAACCCTAATACTTGGTGTAAGCGGTGACTGAAAGCCCCAAAGGGGAGTGAGCTGAATAATGTAATGTTTTCACACACATTGACACATATGCATTGTATGAAGCAAAATACAATTATTAGATTATGTACATTTTATATAAAGCTAGGTTAATAATTATTGTATTTAACCCGAATCATATATAAAGCTCAATATTCGTGAACTTTTCATCCATTGTCTTATTTAGAAGCCATTGGAGTTCATTTGTGGGGTCATGTGGTCATGCATTCATGGCTACATTATATACCACAAATATTGTAAACAGTTAATAAATATACTCTACTTAAGGGGCATGTACGGTACATAATTGCAAAATACCAACCTATAACTAAACTACACATGTCTTAGGCTAAACGTTAATATTATTAATTGCAAAATATAATAGATATTTGATTTCCAAAAGAACCACAGCCCACAGGGAGTATAGAAACGCACAAATGCACAATTTATTTATACAGTTACAATAAGCTATGTTCCTGTAAATTACCTTGTCACCCGTGTAAGTGAAATTGTCTTGTTTTGTATCTTGTCAACACTTCTTTATTTAGCTTGCATTTTATTTAAACTGTTTCAACAAACATGTTTTATAAAATTATGTTTGATATCTATATCCAGAAACAGTTTGAAACAGTATTGTAATTGTCACGCATTCGGAAACTGTCGGCGTAATGCCGTAAAGTTTAATTTACATGAAGTACATCGCATATAAACGGTCGGAATTCTAAATTATTTAAAAAAAATACTAAACAAAATGATATTAAACAAATGGCACACCGCGCACTACATCGTGGTTTTATGTCTTTTACCTGATAATTTGTCAAGTGTTCTGCAAACAAGCAACAACAAAGATTGTATGGTATGTACGATGTAATCATTGTTTTACTGTTTATTTTATATACAGGTCTGGAAAATTTAATAGATGAGTGTTGCAAAACTTGCAAATCTCGCTCATATTAAACCTCACGTATGTTTTTCGTATGATAGCCAATATAATTATAACTAGGAGCTAGAGTATAACCATGCACATGTCGAAGTACAACCATTGTATACAATGCAGTGCTCGATCTACATGCAACAGTGCATAAATTGCAGGATGACCTTATTATATACTCGTACTCATTGACTTCATTATCATAGTCTCTTACTGTTGTTCTAACAGCAATTAGGCTTTGAGAAGCCATGTATATTATAGATTAATTTGTAGCCCAGCCACCATAGTCCATATAAATTGTAGCCCAGCCTCCACATTTTACACCAATAATGAAATTAACCAGTAACTCAATTTTGTTGCTGGTAGTGTAATGGAATCTATGGGTCTTTCATATCCCAGAATTGCCTAATTATTGTAAAATCTGCATAAAGCAGAAAAAGGCTCTGTTTTTATTAATGACCAGAGCCTATTGAGTGACTAAATATTGTCAGCCTAATCCACTTATTTGATTTATCCATGTTGCATTACTTTTGATTGCAAAACACCTGGATTATACATGATTTGCCAGCAAAATAGCAGCAATTGATAAACTTGAGTACATTATTGACTGAATGTATCAAACAGAATGCATGTTGGCGAGTTAATGCGATTTTAAGCATGGGCGTACGGGAAGGAAAATATTAGGGGTTGGAAAGAAGTGATTGGGGGGGGGGAGAAGTGATTACAAAAAATTCCTATTAGATAGCATATTTCCCACATAATTGACAGAATTTCCCACAAAATTGACAGAATTTGTCCCATTTATTTCTATAATAAACCAATATTGCCCGACTGTGAAGCGAATATTGCCCGGCTGGCTTTGTTTGCCCAACAAAGCCAGGGGGCGACCGCCCAGCCAGAAACTGGGGGGAGGCGGGACGGTACCCCAACCCCTCCCACCCCCACCCAGTACGCCCATGATTTTAAGCGATTTTAGGCGATTTAAAGCGATTTTAGGCGATTTAAGAGAAATTTGACCATTTTAACCCGCGATTTAATGCGATTTTGGGCGATTTTAGGCGATTTAAGGCGATTTACCGCCCCAGAGTAGGCCTTCAGTAAAACAAATCAGCCCAAGTGAATTGTTACCACTGGAAGAAAATAACTCTGCAGCTGTTCCTGTAGGTTCAGGAACCTACGGGGATTGTATTTTAAAAAAGTTTACAAGATTTGGGATAACAATTCTTGAGAAAAAAGTACCAACTTCAGATTTAACAGCCGTCATGAATGAAGCACAGTGCATGAACACACTAAATCATCCAGCAATCCCTCATTTATTAGGAGTCCAAATTGATAAAAAACCTTACTCTTTGGTCATGCGGTTTCTTGGTGTGGGTATGGAGTCAGTAACAGTTCATAAACTCCTGCACCAAGACATGGCAAAACATCTGTTACTATCAACAAACGAATGGATCTCCGTTTTACATGACATCTCAGAAGCTCTTTTCCATGTCCACCAGAAAGGATTCTTACACTGTGATGTGAAGTCAAATAATGTTCTTGTCTCAGGGAAGAAAGGTTACTTGATAGATTTTGGTAAGGCTTGTCTAATTGCCAGGCCAGCAGCTCGAAAGTACACTTCGTTTTACAATCACATTGCCTCGGAAGTTTTGCGAGGACGTCCGGTGAGTACGTCCAGTGATGTATTTTCACTTGGGGTTATCATATATAGTGTTGGAAAGGCATTGCCACATGCATGTCTGAATTCCTTGGGGAAGCAGTGTAAGGATACCAAGCCAGCATCAAGACCATCAATCCCAGAAGTGGTAAGAATCTTGAAGGGGAACTTGCAGTCACGGTTGGTACAAAAGACAGCAAATTCGGCCACGTACAAATAACTTTCTGTCGTTAGTTTGGAATATCACGAAATTTCCTAACGGGATCGAACTTGCCATTCCCAAAAATCCTACCGTTTTTGTTTTTCGATTTTGTTACATTTTGGCGGGAAAATGACGTGCCATCTTTGGCGCCAAAAAATTAAACACGAACTAAGAACATGCTAGGAACTTTTTTGAAAAGATTGTCCTATAAGGATCTCAGAACTGTAAAAATATTGAAAATACGCCAAAGCAGTGCAAAGATATGGTGCTATACAATTACTTTATGGTTTCCGTGTTTGGATGGCCTGATCCAAACACGCGGGAATGTTGCGAGAGTTAAGGAAAGCGCGCGAAAACACGAGCCGAAGGCGAGTAATTTTGCGCGCTTTTCTTAACTCGAGCAACATTCCCAAGTGTTTGGATCAGGCCATCCAAACACGGAAATCATAAAGTAATTGTTTTATAAAATAACAACAACACGATATTCTTGCAAGTTTTATTTAAATAAGCGCAAGTATAAAAGCTAAATTCTCCCAAGTTGCAATGCTAAATTCTCCCAACTTTACGACAAGGCGAACGACCTTCAACGAAGCTGTATAATTTTGTAAACAATCAGGTCAATCAACTGTGAAACACTACAACGTAAATTTAGAACGAAGTTTTTCTGTTTAAAAGTTTAACAAAATTACAAATGTTGATTAAAGTTCACGTTTACACTGCTGATTAAGCAGTTGTTAAACATTCCGGCGAAATCAGGCAATCCTTGCAACGAGACGCTAGGTGACGAAGAACCAAGGTCAGAAGAAGCAATTGTTGTCGCTTTTGTCACGGTGGTTTGTGAGAATATTCCGACTGCAGGTTTCTTCCTAAGTGGTTTATTATGCCCCGTATTGTCGCCAAGAGCTCCGGAAAGAACTTCACTTGAACGCTTCAACTGATGTGACGATGGTCGCTGATTGTAGTGGACAAGAGACTGTTCGCTGCGATGCCCTGAAATTGCCATTATATGGCGATTTGTTAAGCCGGCGTTGGACCACAATGTTATAGACGTCGCTCTCACGGAGTGGTTAGTGTAAACTTTCGACAGAGATGCTGCTTCGCTGATAGTTTTCATCATATTACCAAGCGTGTTTACACCAAGAGGTTTGTTCTCGTACCAAGTATTGTCAGCCGGACTCCACTTTCGCTTGGGATATTGAAAGAATGCTTCGCAGGAAGGATGCAATTTGGTAATGAATAGCTGCAAAGCTGAGAAGCCGTCGTTTTCTGCATCGGTCTTGTACATCCTTCCCAAATTTTCAAAGCTTTCGTTGTCGTGAATACCGCCAGGATGATTTTTTGAGGCTTCACTGTGAGCCATGGTGACAAATGCTTCCCCGTTTGCATCTTCGGTAAAAACAAAGCTGTCCTTCGTCAGCTTTCGTTGTCCTTCTCGTCCTCTGCGGCACCAAAACAAAGACACATGAAACCATACGTTTCTAAGGAGACCAAGTGGAGTGGACACATTCAATACGTCGCTATTTTTTAGCTTTGTGAGGTCTTCAGCTTCCAAGACGGGCTTGTGTACAACATTCTCCTTTCCCTGTTTCTTAAAGGATACTATCTTGGCGTTCAGCACGGAGTTTGACATTTTAAATGCTGGGTTGTACGACATGCTCAAACCTCTGTTGTACGGTGGACAGTTCAGGTATCGCTCTAGTCCGTGTTTTAAACCAATTAAAGTTGATTTACTGTAGTCTTCACCTTGCTGGTTTTTTACTTCGGCGTAAAATTGACAAAGACATTTATCAAGAGTTTTGTCGTCCATTTCGTGCAATTCTTGTTGAATGTTTCGCTGTTTCGACCATTCTATAAATACATGTAAGCAAATAAGAATTATAGGAATGACAGCGAAATAGTGTAGGCTACTGAATTTCAACATTGCGGTTTAAATGCGAATGTTTATATTGTATAATAAATCTAAACAATCACTGTATCTTTAAAAACATTGACAGCGTATGTTGTTTTGTACTTCGTATTTTTCGACTGTACATCGCTTAACAGCTCGTCAATATTCTCCTGGGTTACTTCAGCAAACCTTTTACGCGTTTCACTCTTTTCTGCGGTTGCACAAATGCCCTCCAAATCAATTTTGGCAAAAAATTCGTCTTCAGAGTCAGACATGTTTAAAATTCCCGCGAAGGCACTTTAAATTTCCGTGTTTGGATGGCCTGATCCAAACACGAGTTTCGACCAATCAGAGCACGCGTTATATACATGTTATTTTATAATTAAAATTCTGAAAAATCCGCCATTTTGTTACTAAAAATAGATTTTTTTCGAATTTTGAATCGCCATATCTTCGCACTGCCTTGTTGTATTTTCAATGTTTTACAGTTTTGAGATCCTTATAGGACAATCTCTTCAAAACAGTTACTAGAATGTTCTTAGCTCGTGTTTATTTTTTTGGCGCCAAAGTTGGCACGTCATTTTCCGGCCAAAATGTAACAAAATCGAAAAACAAAATCGATACGATTTTTAGGAATGGCAAGTTCTATCCTGTGAGGAAGTTTCGTGATATTCCAAACTAACGACAGAAAGTTATTTGTACGTGGCCGAATTTGCTGTCTTTTGTGCCCACCGTGCAGTGAGGACTTTAAATCTTTCCTATATTAAATTAATAAAAAATATCATTATAAAAATTATTATAAACCCTAAATTTTGAGTATTGTGAATAGTGGAAACTTATGTTGTCAAGACTTGAAGTCTTTAGGCAGCAAGTTGTCAAGATCTAGTGTCTTTCGGCAGCTAGTGGAAACTGTTTTGCAGTATGAAAAATGCAATTAAAACATACTGTACATATAATTAATAAACTACATTTTTTTCTGTGAGTAGTAGAAACTTATGTTGTAAAGGCTTCGAGTCTTTAGGCAGCAAGTTGTCAAGACCTAGTGCCTTTCGGCAGCTTGTGGAAACTGTTCTGCAGTGTGAACAATACAATTAGAACATACTGTATAATTAATTAACTAAGTTTTATACTGTGATTGAGTAGTGGAAACTTATGTTGTCAAAACTTTGAGTCTTTAGGCAGCAAGTTGTCAAGACCTAGTGTCTTTCGGCAGCTAGTGGAAACTGTTTTGCAGTATGAAAAATACAATTAAAATATAAAATTAACTAAGTTTTATACTGTGAGTAGTGGAAACTTATGTTGTCAAGGTTTCGAGTCTTTAGGCAGCAAGTTGTCAAGACCTAGTGTCTTTCGGCAGCTAGTGGAACTGTTCTACAGTGTGAAAAATACAATTAAAACATACTGTATAATTAATTAACTAAGTTTTATACTGTGATCGAGTAGTGGAAACTTATGTTGTCAAGACTTCGAGTCTTTAGGCAGCAAGTTGTCGAGACCTAGTGTCTTTCGGCAGCTAGTGGAAACTGTTTTGCAGTGTGAAAAATACAATTAGAACATACTGTATAATTAATTAACTAAGTTTTATACTGTGATTGAGTAGTGGAAACTTATGTTGTCAAAACTTTGAGTCTTTAGGCAGCAAGTTGTCAAGACCTAGTGTCTTTCTGCAGCTAGTGGAAACTGTTTTGCAGTATGAAAAATACAATTAAAATATAAAATTAACTAGTACGTTTTATACTGTGAGTAGTGGAAACTTATGTTGTCAAGACTTCGAGTCTTTAGGCAGCAAGTTGTCAAGACCTAGTGTCTTTCGGCAGCTAATCGAAACTGTTCTGCAGTGTGAAAAATACAATTAAAACATACTGTATAATTAATTAACTAAGTTTTATACTGTGATCGAGTAGTGGAAACTTATGTTGTCAAGACTTCGAGTCTTTAGGCAGCAAGTTGTCAAGACCTAGTGTCTTTCGGCAGCTAGTGGAAACTGTTTTGCTGTGTGAAAAATACAATTAGAACATACTGTATAATTAATTAACTAAGTTTCATACTGTGATTGAGTAGTGGAAACTTATGTTGTCAAAACTTTGAGTCTTTAGGCAGCAAGTTGTCAAGACCTAGTGTCTTTCGGCAGCTAGTGGAAACTGTTTTGCAGTGTGAAAAATACAATTAGAACATACTGTATAATTAATTAACTAAGTTTTATACTGTGATTGAGTAGTGGAAACTTATGTTGTCAAGACTTCGAGTCTTTAGGCAGCAAGTTGTCAAGACCTAGTGTCTTTCGGCAGCTAGTGGAAACTGTTTTGCAGTATGAAAAATACAATTAAAATATAAAATTAACTAAGTTTTATACTGTGAGTAGTGGAAACTTATGTTGTCAAGACTTCGAGTCTTTAGGCAGCAAGTTGTCAAGACCTAGTGTCTTTCGGCAGCTAGTGGAAACTGTTTTGCAGTATGAAAAATACAATTAAAATATATAACCACACTAGATTTTATACTGTGAGTTGTGGAGACTTATGTTGGCAAGACTTCAATATTTAGGGAGGAGATAGAATGTTATTAAGTGTTATATGCTGTAACCGGCATGCAGACTTTTGGTATCGACAGACTAAAACAGTGTACTTGTAAAGTTGTAAAAATGCTTCTTTATATTTATATCACTATACTGGCACCTGGACAAGATCAGATGGCCAAAAACAAATGCCTTGGGAGGCTGTAAAAACGCCTTCGCTTCTGGCATATTTTTATCAGTCTCAATATAAATTTTAAAGTTTATGGTGTTACGGTACTCTGAGTGTGTATCCACCCTGGGCAAGCTGAAAAGTTTGCCTGACCACAATGGGAATCGAACCTGCTACCTTTGTCCTTTGCAGTACTAGTCCAATGCTCTACCAACTGAGCTTCAAGGTCAAATGTTGTATTAACCCCCATTAAGATGCAATGGATTATGGATCATTCCAGAAACATCCCACAGAAGAAATTGAAAAATACAATTAAAATATATAATTAACTAAGTTTTATACTGTGAGTAGTGGAAACTTATGTTGTCAAGACTTCGAGTCTTTAGGCAGCAAGTTGTCAAGACCTAGTGTCTTTCGGCAGCTAGTGGAAACTGTTTTGCAGTGTGAAAAATTCAATTAGAACATACTGTATAATTAATTAACTAAGTTTTATACTGTGATTGAGTAGTGGAAACTTATGTTGTCAAGACTTCGAGTCTTTAGGCAGCAAGTTGTCAAGACCTAGTGTCTTTCGGCAGCTAGTGGAAACTGTTTTGCAGTATGAAAAATACAATTAAAATATAAAATTAACTAAGTGTTATACTGTGAGTAGTGGAAACTTATGTTGTCAAGACTTCGAGTCTTTAGGCAGCAAGTTGTCCAGACCTAGTGTCTTTTGGCAGCTAGTGGAAACTGTTTTGCAGTATGAAAAATACAATTAAAATATATAACCACACTAGATTTTATACTGTGAGTTGTGGAGACTTATGTTGGCAAGACTTCAATATTTAGGGAAGAGATAGAATGTTATTAAGTGTTATATGCTGTAACCGGCATGCAGACTTTTGGTATCGACAGACTAAAACAGTGTACTTGTAAAGTTGTAAAAATGCCTCTTTATATTTATATCACTATACTGGCACCTGGGCAAGATCAGATGGGCAAAAACAAATGCCTTGGGAGGCTGTAAAAACGCCTTCGCTTCTGGCATATTTTTGTCAGTCTATAAAGTTTATGGTGTTACGGTATTCTGAGTGTGTATCCACACCTGGCAAGCTGAAAAGTTTGCCTAACTACAATGGGAATCGAACCTGCTACCTTTGTCCTTTGCGGTACTAGTCCAATGCTCTACCAACTGAGCTTCAAGGTGAAGTCGGTTTGAGTTGGTGATATTTAATTTCAGAACTGAGTCTAGTCACTTCGATATCAATGTATTCTAAGATATGATGAGCATGACTAGGGCAACTGATTGGTAGCAAATAACTGGAGTTCTCATACCTCATCGTTGTTTTACAATCTATGGTGTTATTTCAGAACTAAGTCTAGTTCCTTCATGGATAACATATGGTTCCTTCGATATCAATGTATAATTCTAAGATCTATGATAAGCATGACCATGGGCAAATGATTGGTAGGAAATAACTGAAGTTTTTATACCTCATCCTTACGCGTCTAGCACCAGTAAAAACCTTCAATGCATCATGACACTTTCTATATTAGCTGGAACTAGCATTTTAGTTTTGTATATATATAGGAAGTGTTTTTGTTTGTGTTTTGTTTTTATACTTCAAGAGGCAAGAGTGCGGACGGGACTCTAAGCCGCAAGGTACTCTCCCGTTTCAATAATATACAAGTACACATACATACCCACTAAAGCGGACATTCGTCCGACACCGGATTCCAAGTTATATTTCGATGCTATTCGTCCGACAGACATCAGGTCAGACCACGGTGTCGAGTCAGATGTATTTTCCTCGTTCTTTAAACATGCTGAACTCGCCTTGTGCAAGCTATGTACGCTCAAACAAGAAGCCATATTCATAAAAAACATCAAAACCATATTCAGCTAGATTCTTTTACTATTAGATATTAGAGTTTTAATAATTTAAAACAAACTACGAGCTGTCAGGCTGTTTTAATCAGTGCTCTTACAATCAAATTTTCGAATTCCTTAGAAAAAGCCCGAAAATTCCTCAGATTTCCTTAAAATTCCTTAAATTGGTAAAATTACTACAAGGCCTGATCACAGAGTTGCAAAGTGTTTTTTTCACCTGATATACCTGAATTTTTCGAACTGAACGTTCTTTAAAACCGTATTTTTTGAAAATTTGAAGTTTCTAGACCGTCGGAAATGGCATTTTTAGAGTCTTTCATACCCAATATCAGTTTAGTATTGCCTAACAGTGAAGATAAGTATTGCTACTTTCAGTTTATAATAGGGGCTTTTTTAGGGGCTTCGGTGGCCAAGTGGTTAGCGCACTTGCCTTTCACCTCTGAGGCTGCAGGTTCGAGTCTCACTAGGTACCTTCTCAGTGCGACTCGAACCCAGTCCCCACGTGAAAAGAGTAAAAGTCAACGCTCTGCCGAAAGCCGTGGGTTTTCCCCGGGTACTCCGGTTTCCTCCCACAGGGAAAGTTGACAGGGTGGGTTAGGTAAAAAGGGCCCACAGTAATTGGCATATGCTGTTGTGGTGACCCTGCCCTAGTTGGCAAAGCTAAATAAATAAATAAATAAAATAAATATAATGGGAAATTGAGAAAATTTTGGAAATTTGGAGTCTCCAGATCGTCAGAAAGGGTATTTCGCAATTGTCTCCCTGCCACAACACGTCTCAACGTCTTTAGTTTGTTTGATTGTTAAAGTCAATTCAGATTAGAGAGTTCACTTTTTTATGCCCTGAGAATTACCTGAATTTACCTGAAAATCTGCAGGATATCTACCTGAAATTGTTCATGAGCAATATTAGGGGTGTTGCACCCTCCCTCCCCCGGTTACTAGGGCCCTGAGAACTTAGAAAATCTGTAGATTTCAGAAGAAACAGCATACACTGACATTTTAGTCCACGATAAAATGTTTCGGAAATTCCTTAAAAAAATCCTCAAAAACTTAAATTCCTTAAAAAAATCCTTAAAACTCTTCAAAATTCCTATTTTTAAGGATAATTCCTTAAAAGTGAGAGCACTGGTTGCTACTTTCAGGTTTAAATCTCATTTGCGTGGCGTGGTTATTCTCCGTCAAACGTTTTTAGTCCAGGATAAAATGTTTCGGAAATTCCTTAAAAAAATCCTCAAAAACTTAAATTCCTTAAAAAAATCCTTAAAACTCTTCAAAATTCCTATTTTTAAGGATAATTCCTTAAAAGTAAGAGCACTGGTTTTAATACACCGCGCTATAAAAACAACAACATTTAGTAACCACGCGAATGCAAAGTCCCGCGTGTCGCACGCGTGTGTTGAATTCTGGAACATGGACAGACCCAGGCATTAATGTACCTGAGCGCCATTGCTTCACACCCTTCCAGGTCCATTGCAAAACACACCGCCCCGAAATCCCGAGTCACTAATACCAACAACCACAGAGCCCCAAACTGCACTTCTGAGATTTCCTGGTAGTGAATCCAAACCACCTGGCTCCCCTGCTGTACGATTACCTCACACTGTTACCCGCAGTGACCGTGTTATTCGACGTCCTTCCCGCTATTCGGACTGAGATATTGACATGTACATATTCTGTTTCTTTCAGATAATATACACCTACTCTGTCTTGTAACACATCACGGCAATGTACAGCACTCGTACTGTTTCAAGATACTGTGTTTATTTTATATTAGTATTGTAAATGTTCTTGTTGATAACTGCAGTTCAGAAAGTTTAGTTTAGAAACACTTTAAACAAGAAAGTGTATAATGGGCGAGCTGTGGCATGCGAAGGACATGGGCATTAATGTATTCGGGTTGTTGTTGCTATTCTGTTATTGTATTATTACAACGATCGATGATCTGAAATTACTCTGATCTTTCTGGCTATTACAGGGCATTTGCACTATCGTAACCAATCAAATCAAATTCCCGGGTGTGGGGGGATGGTTACTCCTGGAATTGATCATGCATAACTGTTAGTAGTTATAGTTAATATGTGCACACAAGTACAAAACGTCAACAATCCACACTGGGACACTGGGGTTGCTATAGGAATCTTTATATTAAGCCTGATTATTATTAAAGACGTGCATACATGTAGAATGAACAGTTGAACACTATAAACTCATCAATCAATCAAAAACATTTTATATTTAAACACGATTTAAAAATGAGCAGCAAATTGCTCATGTGGTCGTGAGGTCATGTCATCGCATTGGCCTTGGCACATCGCCACACAAACAAATAAACTAAAATGAATTTTGACTCATTGTACATATAGGACATTATTGACGAATAGATCAAGACAATCGAAGATAAATGACCATATATAAGTTTCTATTGTTTCAATACTTCTATACTATTAACTATAGCATACTATATCAAAACAGCATATGCAATTATACAAAATGCCTTCATGTATATCACCTGCAAGATATCTGGGAAGATATAAAGCCATCCTTACCTAATTTGTTCGTGAAAATCCAACAAACTGCTTGTAAATATTTAATAAAGCTCGTATTGCACGTATTATTAACTGAATCCCGAGAAGAATCATGCGTGCGCAATACAAAATAACGAATTTCACCGTCCCCTCGTTCGGTCCTGAAGCTTTAATTACTACCCCGGAAATCCGAAATCCAGACAGACACAAAATCGAGATCTCGACAATATATAGATCACGCGAAAGACTGGGTCGAGCACGGGCAATAGGACAGGTGTAGTGTTGTTAAATAGAAAGTTAGAAATGATATTGTACTTACTCATGTATTATAATTATGTTTAAAAGATCAGAATATTCATAACTTCTTATTTTGTTTCATAAATAGTTCTTTAATATTCGAAACAAATTCCATATCTGCTTCGTCTGCCATCGCCATGTTTACTCGTCCCAATCTACATGCTGCACGGCATTGCCGCCCCTCCTGGCAAAATAATAAGCAAGCGAGAAAAATTAAGGAGAAAATAAGAGGGTAGGAACATCGTTGTCATACGCTGGATGCAGTGACACTTCCATATATGGCACAAACGTATCCATAACTTCCATATATGGCACAAACGTATCCACGACGCGTTTTTTACACTGGTTTTATAACGTTTTATTTGACGTAGGGATGACGTAATGCTGCTTCCCGCCTATGACGATTTGAATTAGTCATGTGATACAAGATTGCGAAAGCCGATTCGCCCAGAACGATGACACGCCAACGAAACGCCCACAATGTTCCTACCCTCTTATTTCTCCTTAATTTTTCTCGCTTGCTTATTATTTTGCCAGGAGGGGCGGCAATGCCGTGCAGCATGTAGATTGGGGCGAGTAAACATGGCGATGGCAGACGAAGCAGATATGGAATTTGTTTCGAATCAATCTGTGTACGAGATTGGTTTCGAATATTAAAGAACTATTTATGAAACAAAATAAGAAGTTATGAATATTCTGATCTTTTAAACATAATTATAATACATGAGTAAGTACAATATCATTTCTAACTTTCTATTTAACAACACTACACCTGTCCTATTGCCCGTGGGTCGAGTGGACTTTGGAGAAACCATAGCATGTTAAGAATAGTGTGCTATAAATGGAAAATATATAGTTCAATAAGTAGAAAATTATTAAAATGAGCAACGAAGAGCATTCTGAAAGCGAGTTTTTTTATCCAGAAGTAGAAAAGGAAGAATATAAAACTTTTATCAGTTTCACGACGACAATGTCAACGAGTATGCGCAGCGAAACATCCAAGAAGAAATTGACATTTTTATAAACGAGCAAAAAAGCGTAAACAGGGTGAAAAAAACCTCAACCGACATGAATGCATTCAACCGGTACCTAGCTGAAATAAACAAACAATATTTAAATATTTTTTCCTTACCAGCACAGAAGCTTCATGACCACTTGTTGTCCAAGTTTTCAAAGATATCGGCAAGTTAAATGGCGAAGAGTACAAACCGGGAACAATTTCAAGTTTCCAAAGGAGTATTCAGCACTTCCTTTCCGACAATAAATCCCAGTTTAACATCCTGAGAGACAAAGTGATTGAAATGTCCCACAAAGTCCTTGTAGCGAAACGAAAAAGTTTAGTAAACAAAGCCGGCAAGGGAAGTAAGCCAAATGCTACTCGCTCTTTCACGCAAGAAGAAGAGAACAAACTGTTTGAATGTGGACAGTTCGGTATGTCTGGACCAGAAGTCCTCCAGAGAACCATGTGGTGGTTTTTGGCACTCCACTTTGGCTTCAGGGGAGAGACTAAAACCGTATGTTACGCTGGGGCGATATTCAACTCCAAAGAAACACTGATGGTCGCGAAATGCTCGTCTGGCTGTGTGAACGAGGCACGAAAACACGCAATGCTCACGAAAACGGTCCACAGAGATCCTTTCAGCCAAAGAATTACGCCACCGGATCAGAAAGATGCCCTGTTGAGTACTATAAAACCTTAAAGAGCCATCGTCCAATCGAAATCAACATAGCAGACGCGCCGTTTTTTCTTGCTGTCAGACATGGGAATCATGGAAACCAACCGCCATCAAAACAACATTTGGTATATGAAATCTCCTCTTGGCAAGAATGAAATTGGCAAGTTTCTCAGCAAAGCAGCACAAAGTGCTGGTCTTCAGCGAGACGGGGAAAAATTAAGCAACCATTAGCAAGTAACCACACAGCAAGACCTCGGTTGGATATCTTCCCGTACTGCCCTCACTTTCGGTCAGTAAGTTATTAATATTAACGTAGTCAGGCGTAAATATATATGCCTTTAGTTTTGCCAGAGGATTTGAACAACTCGGTCACGATTGATTCGGTTTTGATTTTTTTTACTGGACGGTGGTACAAAACTTAATAAACATCTAGATGATGCCATGTTTCTTTGTTTCAGTTGATGCATCGCCGTGATATGTTTGCTATAATTGCCAAGAGGGAATTTAGTGTGCGTGTCTGTCTAGTAATCAAGCATGTCAAGACAAGATGGGAGTCTTTATTGGCCTATTTGCATCGAGGCGAATTATACGGCAAGTCGAGTTTATACTCTAAAATGTCTAAAATAAAACAAAAACACACTTCTGAAGTTCAATGTATTTATCTTGTATTAGGCAGTAGTCCAAGACTACCCTTCGCATTCTTTTATTACAATTTCAATAATGCATTTTCATGAATGGCAACCAGCACTAGCTGAGAAAATCAAAATAAATCTAAAGAAAAATTAAATCATTCTAAATGAAGTAAACTAATTTGGCAGCATGGATTACAATCCATGCTGGTAGACATACAAAATAAGACTTTGTAACAATAATTCAGTTTTGGTTTTGTATGAGAAGTCATAGCTCAATTTTGTAAACCAAGAAAATTGTTAAAATTGGAAACAGATTAAAAATAGGTAGACATTAGACATTTCTAAAACTAAAATAAAAATCTAATAAATATTCAAGGAGGCATAATATGGCACTCTCAATCTATTTGTCCGTTTAAAATAAGTCCTGTTCCTGTGTTAATATCTCAAACCACCTCACACCACTTAACTCCACCTCACACCACCTTGTACCACCGCACGCCACTTTATATCCACTTTATATATGTTGAGGAACCCGTTTCTCACGTTGGTACTCCCCTGGAATTTCCGCAAATTTTCATGTAAAATTTACCCCATCTCATGGAATTTCCATGTAAAAATTACCTTTCCCCATGGAATTTCCAT